TATATATATATATATATATATATATATATATATATATATATATATATATATATATATATATATATATATATATATATGGACTCTTACACGCGTATAAATGGTATTATACGATTAGGCGAGTACATACAGCTGAAACATTCGAAAGGAAAGAAGCACTGCCGAACTCGTACGCCTCTCTATTTTTAGTTAAATTTTACAGTTTTACTTATCTAAGGAAATTGTCCCTGATTTTGCAGAACTGAAATAATAATAAATGTTTCTTGCACATATATGTAGAAGAACTTCCTGAAATATATTCATCTTTTATAAATATTTTGAAATAAAAAATCTAAAGGTGAAAATATATATATTATCAACTGATAACTTTTGTCACAATATTCCGAAACATATTCGTATTTACGAATATATACTAGGACTTAAAATATTATCAATTTGAATATATCTCATGAAGTTCCAATTACATTTCGTATTAATATTATTTGATATTTACTTTATTCTATACCTAATTGTAATGAGTTCTTTATAAGAATATGAAAGACAAACTTACGATGATCGATAAGTACTATTCAGTTTCAGTGTGATGATACTTATCTACTAAATTGCCTAAGATTCAATAGTAAATATTAAACTTCCGTCTTTAATTATGATTTACTATATTCGCAAGAAGCAAAATCATTGAGCAATATTCCAGTGATACTGCAAAGATAGAATAATTCCAATAAGTCTTGGAATTTGAAGACTTATATAGGTAGGATAACACAAAGTACCTGATGAGTGATTTTTCGATAGCTAAATATCGCAGTTCATATTTTAACACACAATTTTAGGTGAAAATATTTATCACTCACTGAAGATCGTCATCTTTTGGCTGTATGTATATGTCATTTATTAAAATGTATTTTACAAAGAAGGCGTTCTTCGCAATTCCACATGTTATCCTTGTAACCAGCTCCGATCCGCAATTCTTGATTCCTGGAGTAAATATCAACCGCAACTTGTGTTGTATGCTCGCGGATATAATAAAAGCCACTCTCGTTATATTCGTGAGTGTATATGTTGCTCGTTATCGTGACTCGTGCAAATATAATCAGGAAACTAATTAACTAATTATTCTGGTTGACTCGGAAATACACTTTAGAAGCTTACGGCTAATGTGGCTAGTGACGAAAATTACATGAATTTAATTAAGAACATTCATGTATGTGGATGAAACCAAAAGTGATATCATAAGAAAATCCGTAATAAAACAAGATAGATGATCATGTTAATAGCTAAGAAGAATCTATTCAAAATAAAAGGTAATATTAATTCTATTTACATTTTTTACGTTTTTTATATTTTTTAAATACAAATTTGTTTGAAAAAGACTAAAGATACTATGAAAAATTAGGAATTGTATCTCATTTCGTAATTTTTTTCTCAGAGTGTGCCATAGTAGCCCACGACATAAACGCAATTAATCGCAAATTTTGTGATTAATTAAAAAAAGAATTACTCGATGTTGTAACGAAGATGAAATAAACGCATGTGGGCTCATCAAAATTACGAGCAGTCTCTCGTCTGTCGTGTCTGGATCAAAGCGTCACGGACAGCGAGCTTTCGCGCAGCTTACCGTGGAGTTATCGTGAAGGGATTGTAGGAAAGCTTCTCAGCAGTCTCTCCGTGCAATTCAGCCACCAGTTGCGGGCTTCGCGGCCGCGAAAACGGTCGAGAGGATAGTTTAGCGAGAATCGAACTAAAGAAGACGATACACTTCAAAAAAGAAACATTGCTCTTAAAAGTAAATTAAAGTTCCAATTGCACTGCGATACTTGATAATGCTATCAGTTTGACGGCATCTAATTCGTGTTCGATCTATGTCATACAGAAGTTTAACTCTGCGAGGAAATTTCTCGTCGATGTAAGCCGCGAATGTGTTCACCGGCTTCTCTTCTCACAAATAAAACGAAGAAACCGGCTGAGAACGAATGAACACATTAATATGGCGCCTTCGAACGGGACTATATGTGGTGGCGATGGTCGTGAAAATTCGCGCATTTAGAATTTCGCGCATTTAATTGGATCCAGGCACGAACAAATATTATTTATACGCGCGTATTGGATTCATTAACGATCCACTTCGAGAGACCAATGCATCCTTGGACGGAACGAGCGTCGATTAGCGCGAGATCGAGTCACGCTCTTGGACAGTAAATCCTGAAGATCCATATCCGTGGTAAGAAAAGAATACGCGCTCGAGGCGGATGAGCATGTCGCGAAAAAGGTGAAGTGCACGAGGAACGACGTCGCGCCGATGATACTCGACTCGGAAGAGGAAGCCAATTTGGATCGAGGCCAAGCCTGAGGGAATCTCACTGCGAACATGGAGGAGGAAGGTAATGACAGTTTCTGTCGTAATTATCCGTTAACAATTTAAATCGGCTGCCACTAATGGTGGCACGCGGTATTTTCTTGCGAAACTGTTGTCATAATTATAAGTATGGTTCTGTCCTTGCAATTATTCCCTGAATGTTTAAATTTTATACTACTAACAGTGCCGCGGGAAAGGATAAACGGCATTTTGTATAAACACTGATTGAAAACAATAATTTTATGTCAAAAACTGTTTATCAAAGCTCACTTTGAATAATCTATAATTTATGACAGAATTTGGGAGTTCTGTTGTTACGAAATTATTTGAAGAAACGCGCGCACAAGTATACACATCTATAAATTCTCTCAAATGTTTCCTGAAAGAAAAAATATCTAAGAAATAGTAAATATTTATTTGGTGAATATATTTACATGTAACAACAAATTTACTTACATTAATATACAATGTTTTTTAAATAAGAAAATATATTTTTTTAAAAAAACCTTAACTTTTCATGAAAAGCAATTATTTATTCTATTTAAATAAAAGAATTTCAATGATAACGAGTAAATATGCTGTTAATACTCACCAAAGAAATATTTACTAATTTTTAGATATCTTTGTCTCTCAGTATGTATCGCGTGAAGATTGCAAATAGAATTCTGTCTTAAATCTGTCGCGAATTATAAATTGTTCGAAGCATATAGATCTTCAAAATAAGATCTTAATAACAACGTTTTTGAAAGAGCTCTCATGAATAGAAGCGAAGGGGAAGAAAGATTTAGTAACAGCGATCTATTACAGATGTCAACGACGTTACTGCATTATGTTTACATTCGTGGAAAGGAATTACGCGTCTCGTGTTCCTATATAAAATCGCAACCTACCGCGATACATTCGTAACTCAACATGACAATTGGGAACGAAAGCGCGCAATGTATGCATGAGAGCGCGTCATAGAATTATAATGTTTTTATGCGGAGATTGCATAGGAGTGAGTTTTTAGTTGACAACACACTCTTATGGTGAGAAAATGCTTTTATCATGCAATATGACAATCCACGTGGAACGCACAACTTTTCGTTTTGCGAATGCAATTTGAAAATACAAATAAAGTAGCGCGCGTCCAATGTGATATGAGAAAACGAATATTTTGATATTACTTTATACAGAATACAAAAAAGCGATTTTATACACTGAGGAAAAAATATTAAAAATTTACAAATATTTATTAAATGAGTGCATTACTAAATTGATTTATTTAAATCAAAATTCTCTTCATTTAAATCAAATAAACAGTACAGTTTAAATGGAAAGAATTTTAATTTATACACGGAAAAAAATAATTTTGGTCTTTTAGCAAAATCGTTGTTGCTACTGCATATTCGTAGTAACATCAAAAAAATTTAGTTGACGTAACTAATTTTACAAATTATTTGTTATCAGAGCAGAAGTAGTTTCGTTGCAGGATAGAAAAAATTTATTGAGTGTATTTGTCCTAAGAATCACGTTAATTTGCTTTTGATGCAAAATAATGTATCCTTAGCAAATTTGTTTGCTATCGGAGCAAAACTGCAACTGCTTATATAAATCCATCATGGTACTTATAGCAAAATAATTTGTAGATTCGACAAATCTTTTTGCTGTCCATATAATAACGAAAAGATTTTGCTAGACCAGCAGAAAATTTGCTGGGCTAGCAAATTATTTTACTCCGTGTATAAATATGTTAATGATACCACCTAATAAATATTTATTAATTTTTAAATATTTTTTTCTCAGTGTATATAAAAATCATCTGCTAATGAGGCTGAAGTTTACTAGTGCAATTGTTGAAAAAAAAATTAAAAAATATTCTACGAAATAACGCGAAAGTATTATGGCATCTACGGAATGAGACCAGACTTTACACAAATTTTTTTATAATATCTATATACTTACATAGCGCGTAAGCGCATATCATTTTGTCTTATCGCAGACTTTATTCACGAGATTTTGACCAATGCGTTTTTGCGTGATCTTACACGCACCTACTTAGTGTTTGCACATAAGTGCATTGGGATAAAATACTCAAAAATTTATTTGTGAGATAAAGTTTATGTTCACAAAAATAAATTTTATTTTATAGAAATAAACTTTATAGTTTATAGATAAAGTTTATAGAAATAAACTTTATTTTAGAGAGAAATGAACTTTGTATCACACAAATAAATGTTCAAGTATTTTTTCTTAGCGTACGCCGTGCGAGTTTTTTTTTTATATTTTATTAGATATTTTTTTACTTGGAATATATGTCGCGTCATGTAAACTGGAAGATATATTGACGGCAGAAAAGGCACTTGCGCAAATACGCAGAACATTTAATTCCTCGCAACCCTTTGATCCGTTACATTCGCGGATGCCGCAAACTTTCTCTTTTTTTCTCGACGAATGAATTGCAAGCATAAATTAGATAGATTTAAAATGCGGCCGCCGCAGACTTTATCGATATCTCGCGCCGGTGTCCCCGCGACATTCGCGAATTTCGGTCCTCCACCTCCGCGAACGCGAGTTTCGTAATCACGTCTGCGTTGTATCGTCTTCCAAGTTTCATAATAGCGATCCTCGAGGAAACAAGGTCGCTCGGCTCACATGTTGCTCTTTGCCGAAGCGTATCTTACAGTACCGTTGTTACCGCGACGTGAAAGGCATCTTCACCGGAAATAATACTTACACAATACGCGTCTTCATTACGTCTCGCTCTTTGAACTCAAGCGACAAATAAGGTTTTATTATTCTTTACTTCTCCAAGCTTTCTCTCTGCTTTCCCTCTCTCTCTCTCTCTCTCTCTCTCTCTCTCTCTCTCTCTCTCTCTCTCT